GATGTCTTCTAAATATGGTAAAAATTGCAAGTTGAAATTCGCTTGGGTTTGTAAGATGCGATTTTTTTAAGGAGAGAGCGCAGTGGAGAAAAATCATTCAATTTGGGCCTAATATTGAATGATTTTGAGACCCACTTGTACTAAACTGGCAGAAATCAATCTTCTTGCAAATTTAAATCAAACTTTTACAATGTTTATAGTCAGATGTCTTCTAAATATGATAAAATTTGCAAGTTGAAGTTCGCTTTGGTTCGTAAGATGCGAATTTTTTAACGAGAGAGCGCAGTGAAGAAAATCATTCACTTTGGGCTTGATATTTAATTCATTTTGAGACCCTCTTGTACTAAACTGGCAAAAATAAATCTTCTTGGAAATTTTTATCAAACTTTTGCAATGTTTAGAGTCAAGTGTTTTCTAAATATGGTAAAAATTGCAAGTTAAAATTCGCTTGGATTTGTAAAATGCGATTTTTTGAAGGAGAGAGCGCAGTGGAGAAAAATCATTCACTTTGGGCCTGAGATTTAAGAATTTTGAGACCCACTTGTACTAAACTGGCAAAAATCAATCCTCTTTGAATTGGAAGATGGTTGATATTCTTGTTGTTGTTGAAAATCGACCATCTTACAATTATAAAAATCCAAATTTAGCGTTCTGATCAGACTAGAGTGCGCTCTAAAACTACCAGCAGTTTTACGAAGTGACTGTTCAAGTTTCAATTAAATTTAGCGCTACAAAAATCTTTTGAAACTTATGTATTAAAAACAAATAAAAGTGGCCGCAAATTATTCTCAGCGCGACAAGTTTGCTTGATTATTTTGAGAAGTTTCACTTCGAAATCGGGCTTAGTTGATTTTTGGCGAACTTCCGAAAAACCACATTTACTTCACATTTCTCACTTTAATGGCTTCTTTCCAAACGTAGTGGCATCAAACCCCACAGCGAACGAAATCCGATTTTCAAGTCCTCGCAAACTAAAAAGTGCATTTAATAAAAGCCAGGAGTTTCATAAAAATCCTGTTCAGTTTAAAGAAGAGTGAAGAGAAATTAGCAGTTCTGAAGGCACAGGAAATGGATCAATTCTGGCAAACTAACACTTTGTTTTTTGCAGTTTCAACTCAGTCATCCGACCACCATGAGAGAAACTCGCCGACTCCTCAAACTCCAGCAGCAAAGCTAAAAGCCTGATCAGCCCCAGACAATGAGCAGCTACTTCTTAGTGACAACCGAAGTATTTTTGGACTTGGACTATAGAAACTCCTCCTCAAACGAGAGCAACTGCAGTCTGGAGGGGACGTTGAACGGCAGCCCCTCAAAAGCAATGACTGTGGAAAAAACGTGGCTGCATCCATGGACGTTCTTCATCGCATTGAAGATCACAGTGATGATCCTGATCATCGTGGCGGCGCTGCTGGGCAATCTTCTGGTGATCGTTTCGGTGATGAGGCATCGGAAGCTGCGAGTGATCACCAACTATTTCGTCGTGAGTTTAGCGTTAGCGGACATGCTGGTGGCCATTTGGGCGATGTGCTTCAATTTCAGTGTGGAAGTGACTGGCGGCCAATGGATTTTCGGGTACTTTATGTGCGACGTCTGGAACTCGCTGGACGTTTACTTTTCCACCGCTTCCATTCTTCATCTTTGCTGCATCAGCGTGGATCGCTACTATGCAATCGTCCAGCCATTGGATTATCCCCTGATAATGACCAATGCAAGGCTAATAATGATGTTGACCATTGTGTGGTGCAGTCCAGCGCTGTTGTCCTTTCTGCCCATCTTCATGGGCTGGTACACGACGAGCGAACATTTAGACTACCGGAAAAAGAACCCGACTTTATGCATGTTTGTGGTGAATCGGACTTATTCGGTCATTTCGTCCAGTGTGAGTTTTTGGGTTCCGGGCATGGTCATGATTCTGATGTACTATCGGATATACGTCGAGGCCGATCGACAAGAGCGAATGCTTTATAGGTAGGAATTTTCGTTAGTCTCATGAAACTTTCAATTTCCCAGCCAATTAATCAGCGCCAGGTCTGTTTGCCAAATTAAGAGAGGAGAAGCTTTCTTCAAACAGTATAAGCGAAATTTGATTTGCATCAATGAGCTCGGGCACCTGAAACTTTTCCAATTTTGCCATCAGAGATCCGCGGGCCAAAAATTGGCTTCAAATATTTTTTGCTGACTACAGGATAATCAGCAACTTGAAACATTCCATCGTCGTTAATTATCAACCAGGAATAAAACTACGGTTTCTCTACATGTTTGCTGGAAAGTAAGGCGATGAAGTCCGCTTCACATTTGCCAGAAGAAGATCGACGCAAACAATAAAATGCCAAATGCAAAGAGCGTGGAAATGGAAATGTAGGCACGATACAAGAGCTGTCAAGTAAAAACAATAAGGCCCTCCATTACGTCGGAAAACCGGGAAAAATCGGGGACGATGCCGTTTTCACGGGGGAAATTACATTTTCCAATTTTTGGAATTAAACGGGCGTGATCGATTGTGGATTTTTGCCACAACACCAGTAATTGTGACCATCAGAAGTTTTACGAGAGCAGAACGAGGAGACTTTCTTCGTTTGTATTTGTATTTTTAATGAAATTGCCTACTGCTGTAAAATCGTGCTGTTTAGAGGCTAAAAATTGAGAAAATTGATTTCTCGAGCACGAATGACTTGCATCTTTCTGCAATTATAGACCAAATTTATGTCTTTCCTAAGGCGTTGCGTCCAATCTACTAGCGTGATTCTTTTCGAGACTACAAGTTTTGAGAAATTTTCTGCAGAGCTTAAAGTTCCAGTTTCAAAAATTTATCAGAAACTATCTTATCTATCTATCTTATTAGGCACATTCGGTAAAAGTTGCGGTTGATTTAGCGCTATATTTTTCTATTTTTAAGCAAAAAAGGTTCTTTGTTTTCCTGTTTTTAACTAACAAAGTTCTAAAGAATTGTTCTACTCAAAAATTCAACAATCATTAATTGAAAAGGGAAAAAGAAGCAAGTTTAATGCAAAGCGCTAGCTGATGGCGGTTTTCAAAAGTTTGCCAAAAATTAACTAAATTCGCCTTCAAGACGTAAATTTTGAAGGTATGATAGTAAAACTTTCTTCTACTCGACATATGAAAGGTAAATTTCCTTAATTGTTTGGATTTTGAGTCACTGATTGTTGAACAAGCACGCACAATGCGAAGCGCTTGTTGAAACCAATTTTCAAAAATTCGTCAAAAATTAGCTAAACCAGCCTTCAAGGTGTAATTTTTGAAAGTAAAAGAATAAACTGTTCTTCTACTAAACATAGAAAAAATGAATTTCTGTCTTTGAGCAGCAAATTTTTGAAAAAGCAARTACAATGCGAAGCACTGGTTGACACCAATTTTCAAAAATTCGCCAAAAATTAACCAAACCAGCCTTCAATGTATAAGTTTTGAAAGTACTAGACGAAACTTCTGTTCTACTCAACATATAAAAGGAAAATTTCCTTCATTTTTGGATTTTGAGTCACTGATTTTTGAACAAGCACGTACAATGCGAAGCGCTTGTTGAAACCAATTTTCAAAAATTCGTCAAAAATTAACTAAACCAGACTTCAAGGTGTAATTTTTGAAAGTAAAAGAATAAACTGTTCTTCTACTAAACATATGAAAAATAAATTTATGTCATTTTTGGTGTTTGGGAAACTGATTTTTGAAAAAGCAAGTAAAATGCGAAGCGCTTGTTGACACCAATTTTCAAAAATTCGCCAAAAATTAACCAAACCAGCCTTCAACGTATAACTTTTGAAAGTTCTAGACGAAACTTCTGTTCTACTCAACATATAAAATGAAAATTTCCTTCATTTTTGGATTTTGAGTTACTAATTTTTGAACAAGCACGTACAATGCGAAGCGCTTGTTGAAACCAATTTTCAAAAATTCGTCAAAAATTAACTAAACCCGCCTCCAAGGTGTAATTTTTGAAAGTAAAAGAATAAACTTTTTTCTACTAAACGTATGAAAAATGAATTTCTGTCATTTTTTGTCTTTGAGTAGCAAATTTTTGAAAAAGCAAGTACAATGCGTAGCCCTTGTTGACACCAATTTTCAAAAATTCGCCAAAAAGTAACCAAACCAGCCTTCAACGTATAACTTTTGAAAGTACTAGACGAAACTTCTGTTCTACTCAACATGTAAAAGGAAAATTTTCTTCATTTTTGGATTTTGAGTTACTGATTTTTGAACAAGCACGTACAATGCGAAGCGCTTGTTGAAACCAATTTTCAAAAATTCGTCAAAAATTAACTAAACCAGCCTTCAAGGTGTAATTTTTGAAAGTAAAAGAATAAAATGTTCTTCTACTAAGCATATGAATAATGAATTTCTGTCATTTTTCGTCTTTGAGTAACAAATTTTTGAAAAAGCAAGTACAATGCGAAGCGCTGGTTGACACCAATTTTCAAAAATTCGCCAAAAATTAACCAAACCAGCCTTCAACGTATAAATTAATATAATATTTTGTCATTATTGGTTTTTGAGTTTGTCATTACTGATTTTTGAAAGAATCGCGTTCAATCCAAAGCGCTAGCTGATAACAGTTTTCAAAAATTTTCCAAAAACTTTTGAAAATAATAGAATGCTCTTATCTTCTACTAAGCATATAAAAAGTATATTTTCTTCATTTTCGTTTTTTGAGTAACTCACTTTTGAAAAAGGAACTACAACGCGAAGCTCTAGCTTATAACCGTTTTGAAAACTTCAATTCAACCCAAACTAAGTCGCTCTTCCTCATCATCAATTTCTGAGTCACTCATGTTCGAAAAAAGACCATCCTTGCAAAAAGCTAGCCAATAGCAGCCTGCAAAAATTCTCCATATGCTTGCTCTGAGGATGCAGGCCACTCGTGCTTGCGAAACGTTAGCAAAAAACTCTCTACCAAAGCCCGAAAGCTTGAAAACCCAACCAGTCTTAAAAAATTAATTAACCGGAAGTCACCCCCGTTATGTGGAAAACAATACAATTTTAATGTCTAGACTAGTCGACGGTCTAGCCAGTCTCCATCCAGAGTGAAAGTTTAGAGCGTCTAAAAAGCTTTTATAGGTACATGAAGCTTGGCCGGTTGATTATAATAGAAATGTCGAGTTTCGGTTTATCTGCGTTTCTATATGGTGTATTTTTGCCTTCATAAATCATACAGAAGAGCGGCATTTAGGCGATGAGTAAAAGCAGATAAGCCCGGCAAACGTAAATTCAAACCAAACAGGAGCTATTTCGGGACATCTACCTGCCAAAGTTAATTTATAATGCGGAAAAACTCAATAAATTCATCCAGCCACTTTCCAACACGTTCTTGTTGGGATCAAATAGGGCGGACAAAAGAAGCAGCATCACCACCGTTTTATAATTAACCATTTTTATTGATCCTCCACCCTGCTTAACTGGGAAATACAATATGTAAAACCTCTCGGCAGTTTCCTGCAGTTTTCCGGCCTAGACCGCTCTTAAAAGCGTGTGGAGGAGAATCCATAATTTAATCAAATGTCGATCAATGAATCTGATCCATACAGGGAGACTCATGTATCGTCGCAACAAAAGTATCGTTTATCTTGGGGAAACTTTGAAAGGGAACAAAACGACCCATTGTTCGATTTTTCTTCAAAAGCCAATCAAAAGTGCAATCAAAGACACTGTTGTCAAATTTCTGAAGTGGTTTTTCGCAAATATCTCAGGTTCTTTGGGAGAATTGCCATTTTTTCTGCACCCTACCCACACAAAAGGACACTCTGTGTTCAGCCTTAACACTTTCACCTGCTGGCTGAACAGAATAAAACAAATCCGGGCTTTCGAAACGTTTTAGCCGATGTCGCTGAGACGGAAATAAAATCGAAAACGACAATGGACTGATTTAATTCGGCTTTTCGGCGAAATGGTCCACTTAACGAGATTTACTTTTCGACTCACTATGGAGAAATTGAATCTGAAACACCGTAAAACTATCCGGGATGCAATTTTCTATCGATGGACTGATTGGAAGCCAGTGAAGTGGGCATGAAGCTGCATTATCAACTGACTCTCATCTTAAGAGGATTTAGGCTCCCTGTTTTGCTCAATAATTTTGATTTCGATTACAAAAGTTTTGGTAAAAATTGTTTAAATTGCGTTGTTTAAATTGCGACTGGAAAGTTGATATTGACAACTGAAATGGAGATAACGTGCTTAACGAAGCGTGAAATCAACTTCGAGGCAAACAATCCGAAAATTTTGTTTCAGCGCCAAACTAAAATCCCTTCGGCTTTTATTAATTTGCTTGTCCAGCGGCGTAGGCGAACATTTCGCGCAATGATGGATTATCCCAGTCATTCAATTTAGCAAAAACGAACCCAAAAGTGGAAAAAACTGGTCCTGACGAAGTCAGAGGAAAGTGAAGACTTTTATGTGGCAAAAAAGGAAATAATCCGGCAACTAAGCCCAAATTTGCACTCAATTTTCCACACTTAAAAACTGAATTTTTGACGCTAGTGTGGGACAAAATCCTCAGGCATAATCATTAGCAACAATGGCTTTTCGAAATTTGTCTGTAAACTTTTTGAAAGTAAAGTTTGAGCCTAATTAACCGATGTACCGAGGGGTTGAAAATCGGTTGTTTCAACCGCACATTATTTACCTGATTCTGACAAGCCATTTATGCTCAAAAAAAACTGGCGAACACGCCGAACAATACAAGGATCAAATTGCAACGCGAATGCAAAACAGGAAACTAATCACTGTTGCCACTTGGAAACAATAGCGTTATTTTATTCCGGGGTTAATTAAATGGTTACTTTGCCGATGTCGATTTGCTACTCGTTTTGGGAACTTCCATTTATGTGTCAAGTTAATTTAGCAGGATTAAACACGAGTGTTCAATGTTAGACTCACTATGAGTGTGTTCTTTTAACTTGTTACTTCCTAAAGGTTTTCGGTTCTTTATGACTGGAAAAATGCTCAAAAGTTAACAG